CTGAAACGCAATGGAAATGATGTGTTAGATAATGGATTCCACGTTTTTAAAAGGGACATCAGACAAACAACTATAATAAATTAAAAAGATATTCTTTGAAGGTATTTGGGCTTTTTTTTTCCTGTAGGAGGAAAGTAGTATCTGAAGAAGTGCCTTAAGAGGAGTGAGATAGACTTTTTAAGACTTTCAAAGAATTTAACTGAAGAACATTTTGCATACAATTAACAACCTATTGTAAGTGAGCAACTGAATGCTTTTTAGTACATTTCCTGAGTTGTGCAACCATGACCATGATCCAAGTTTAGAACATTTCCTTCACCCTGATAAGATTCCTTGTGTCTATTTACAATTAACACGTTAAGTTCTTTTATTACTATAGGCATAACTATGACTGTTGTGTAAAAGTTATAGAGAAACACATTAGAATTTTTTCCTTCACATTATTTTTTTTCTTCTTCATAAAAAGAATCTGAAGCCAATGAGTCCTGGATTATGGACCACGGGCTCAGGTACATGGCATGGTCCTTTCATGCTAGGGATCTCCTCTTTTGCATTATTTGTGCACCATCTCTTTGTTTAACCGCTCTTCCTCCTCTCACTCTTCCGACATGGAGTGTAAGCAAAAATCTTTTTTTTTTTCTGTTTCTTTTATTTAAATTTATTTACTGAGCTAACCTGTTCTCAACATACTTCTTCACTATTGTTTTTCCCACTGTGGCCTGCTGAAGGACCCCTCCGCCCCTTTCTGGAGGGCAAAGGAAAGCTTTTTTGCCCTAAACTTTTATTTTACCTTCTCTCTCTGTCTCTTTTTTTAAAGACTTTATTTTTTAGAGCAGTTTTAGGTTTACAGCAAAATTGAGAAGAGGATACAGAGGTTGGCAATATATCCCTACATACACCCTCACATGCATAGCCTCCCCCCTTACTAACATCCCCATTCAGGGTGGAACGTTTGTCAGGATTGATGAACCTATGTTGACCTGTTGTATTCATTAAGAGTCCGTAGTTTGAGTTAGGATTCACTCTTGGTGGTATATAATCTATGGGTATGAACAAAATATAATGACATATATACATCATTACAGAGCTATTCAGAATAGTTTTCATTGTCCTAAAAATCCTCTGTGTTCTGCCTCTTCATCCCCTCCTTCCCTCAAACCCTGCATCCACTAATTTTTTTTTTTAACTGTCTGTCTGTTTTGCCTTTTCCAGAATGTTATATGGTTGGAATCCTGAAGTATGTAGCTTTTTCAGATTGGCTTCTTTCACTTAGTAATATGCATTTAAGGTTACACCTTGTCTTTTCATTTCTTACTAGCTAATTTATTTTTAGGGCTGAATAAACATTCCATTGTCTGGATGTACCACAGGTTATTTATCCATTCACCTCCTGAAGGACTTCTTGATTGCTCCCAATTTTGGCAACTGTGATTAAAAATGCTATAAATATCCATGTGCAGGTGTCAGTGTGAAAATAAGTATTCAGCCCCTTTGGGATTGAATGCAATTGCTGGATCTTACGGCAAGAGTGTGTTCAGTTTAATGAGAAACCACCAAACTGTCTTCCAGAGTGGCTATACAATTTTGAACTCCGATCAGGATGAATGAGAGTTCCAGTTCCACATTCTTGTCAGTAATTTGTGTTGTCAGTGTTAGAATTTTGGCCATTCTTATAGGTGAGTAACAGTATCTCATTGTTTTAATTTGCATTTTCCCGATGACAAGCAACT